CAAAATAATCTGTTACCAGTTTAGCAACTGGAAGACCTCTGCTGGGAGATGGTGTAGTTTTGGTTAGGACGCATTAAGAGGAATCTAGGCTGTTGGAGAGGGTCTGGAGGAGCGTACCTAAACTGCCGTCGTCTGGAAAATAATTTGTCTGAAGGAAAAAGAAGGTGGAGAAAAGACCTGGTAATTTTCGAATACTGAAAGGCTTCTCCGAGGACAAGTAGAATAATCTATTCACCAAAGGTAGGGTGTGAAGTAGAAGAGGCAATGGGAAAACTGCATTGATGAAGATCTATTTTAAGGATTAGAAAAGAAAAACATTGTTGTGGTAAGGATAAGAAACTGAAGTATCTTGCTTATGGAGACTACATCTCTGTAACTGGAGATCATTATGAACAGTGTTTTCAAAGATCTGCTACATACAATGCAAATATAATTCTGCCTTGGTCACAGAGATCAGTTATCTTCTCAGATTCCTGCTATCACTGTTCCATGATTTTGCTGAGTATGATGTGGTACAAAGCATTGTGCCTTATCTATCTGATGGATCTCGCTGGGAGGATGTGCAGAAGACAGGGCATTGCTAACTGTCGCTCTGTGTTCTTTCAGCACATTAGGAGAGGCTTGGGCTCAGCTAAAGAAGAGTCTAGCTGACGAAGCAGAGGTTCATCTCAAATTTTCTTCTAAGGTAAATAGTTCTTCCTTTCGCAAAGATTTTTGCCCTGTAATTGATGTGGATCTCACTTCAGTGCTTGTGGGTGGGAAAAATACACAAGCATATAGTACAAATTTAGAAGAATTAATAAGTTGGTGAACAAACTTATAGAAATTCTGTCCGTTCTTCCTGCCAAAATCATAGTTTATTTAATTTACCTGATGAGTAAGTTAAAACATATCTAGCCTTAATTTTTCATAAAAAAGAAGGAAAACTGATTCTAGTGGTTATTTACCTAGGGCTCTAAGTTCCAGCCTGTTCAAGTGAATTTACCTAGAGCTTGTACAGATTACTTCTGTAGAGGAAGAAATGAAAAATAATATTTGGCTTCTCAACAAGAATCTAATGTATCTGTCTGGAAGGAAGAAAACCAGGACTCTGACTTCTTGGTATTGTTAGCCTTTCTCAAAAGTGCACTGGAAATTACTTGGTTTTATTTTTGGATCTTCTCTCAAGTGATGCCCAAGGAGATTTCTTGAACAAATTATGGTATTTATCTGGTTTTTTCCACCACACGTGACATACTCTTGTGGCCTGTTGCATTATGTTAACCTCTGTGGGTGATCAAGTTCAATACAGTGGCAGATATCTCAGCACAACAGCCATGTTCTGGAGGAAAATTATAGCTCTGCACTGTTTGTAAGCGATTATGCAGAGGTTACTCAGGCAACCAGCTGCTGCCTTGGTAACCCGCTGCTCTGCTTCGAACTTCTACTTCAGGGCTGTAATTAGTGAAATACTTTTTGCTCCCCGTTGTTCTCCTGTATTGTTTTCCAAGAGGAAGAAATGCACCCTGGAGCGGTGTGTGCGTGTAGGCAGGCAATGTATAGGGGCTCTTTAATTATTTTACTTTTCCTTAAACCATGCACAGAAACTCCTGTAGCATCCTCAGCTCTCCCCACTGTTCCTGTACCTGCTTTGAGAGTTCCTAGTTCAGGCTTTCTTTTATTAACAGAATAGGTTTTCAAATGTATTGATTATTGCTATTACTTTCAGAGAAGTTATTCTTAGAAGTATTTATATTTCTTGTTGATAGTCGAATGAAACCAGTCCGTGCTGGTGCGAGCAGTCAGTACAGCGCAGAGCACACCAAGAACATTGAAACATCAGCACCAGCCATGAAGACATTGAAAAACTTCTGTGACAGTCCTTCATGGCACTGTTGCATTAGGGGTCATGAACAGATGGGAGAAGGTGACAGCGCTCTTGCGGCACTTGGAACATAAAATATTATTACACTACTAATGCCTGTACAGACTGGCATGGCAGCTGTAGATACATGCACAGGAGGGGTCCTTCAAGAAGGCTGTCATGGCATTAAACCTCCATTCCCCTCTTCTCCATTATCCCTCACTGAGGTCCAGGAGGTGAGTTCTGCTGGAAGAGAAGATGCACATGTGTTGTACTAGTTGAAGTCATGGTGGGCTGGCCTGGATATGATGGTGTGTTACCAGCCACTCTGGAAATGGTGCTGATGCAGCAAAGGAAAAATAAGTACTTGTGAAATCAGAGGAATTTTTGAAGTGTGGTTTCCAATAACTCAGCTGTGTAGTTTCTCCAGCATCTCATACTATGCTTAAGCCTATGCCTCTGTCTTTCTGCCTAAGACTCTACCATAGCGGTACAGAGATCCAGGGTCTCCATCCTCTACCTGATAACTTCTCTTGGCAAACTTCTTGAGATTTCAAGTCCTTTGTCACATCTCACTCATTCAGTGATGGGTAAATATCAGAGTTGTCTGTATGCACTGGTGCTTTAAATCTCTTCATCTTAGGAAAGTAGTTTATGGTTTTTTTTTTCATCTGTTGCATGCATTTGAAGGTCTTTTAGCAAGATCTTCCAGCAAAAAAAAAAAAAAAAAAAAAAGGAAAAAGTATGGGCAACTATAATGCAACATTTAAAAGCCTGGGTCAGTCACATGTGAGTCTGTTTTAATAGCTTATGGTGCCTCTTGCAAGATGGAAGTTCAAGGAGGATAATGATGCTAGAGGATGGATGACTGCCTGAACTCAGAATTCCACTTCTTTGATTCCCAGAACACAAAACTGAAGAAAGCAGTTGCCTTGTTTGCATTTTTAGCCTCCTGGTAATGCATTTCCTATCTTTATGAGGATCTGAGAATTTCCTGTCCCATTATGAACCGTGTGAAATAAACAAATATCTTTACTTTCTGTTAGGCAAGTAGAACTACCAGTGAAATGCCCTCCTGTTTGGTGTGTCCTTGGCCGTGGGGATTTTTATAAGGGTTTTCACAGCACTGCCTCTTTCGTGAGATAGGTCAGGTTGCCACCTCTTCCACTGAGGATGACTGATCCATGTTGGGTCGTTTACTCAGGTTAATCTGTTTATTAATGGAGCAGTCTGAAGAGCATGCAGACTGTTTAGCTACTCCAGACTCAGTTGGACACAGACATCTCTATCAATTGTAATATGTTGCCTCTAGTATTCACTGAAGCCATCCTGAACTTCTCTCTGTTCCAGTTCTTCTTTCGTTGAGCACTGACAATGCTCCTGGCACAGCTATCGGTTTGTACCTCTGTTCTTGAGTTTGTGTAACCATGCTGGACCACAGAGTTGTGAACAGGTCTTTATTAGCTTGCCTAGGGCCATCCTGATGAGACTGTCATAAAAATATTGTCCAGAATTTTCTAGTGCAACCCGCCCCCCCCAGTCAGAGCAGGACTATCACCCACAGCATATCAAGCCAGCTACATCTTTGTCTAGCAGAGTCTTGAATATCTCTAAGGACAGAGATTTCACGACCTCTCTGGTCAACCTGTTCCAGTGCCCAGCTACCATTCTGGTGATTTTTCTTTTTTAAATTACATTCAACCTGGACCTCCCAAAGCCCAGTTGTCTGTTGTGACATTGCCTGGCCCTACTAAGAAGAATTTTGCTCTGTTACCCTTGCAGCTGACCTTCAGATGCTGTAGGCCATACTAGATCACCATGGTGCCAGTCTTCATCTGCCTAAACAAGCTCTGCTTTAGACTTGTTTAACCTCTCTAGGATGTGTGCTGTAGGGCCTTGGCTGTCTTTGTAGCCTCTCTCCATTAAACGGCTGTACTAAGCTTGAATGATGTTTCCTTGTCCATTAAAATAACACTGGAGAAAGGATGAAGATACTTGCTTTCAGGGAGTATTTGATACTGCTCCACTGTGAGCCATGTTAGGTGATCGTGGACCCAACTCGCCTGCGTTGATGGAGTCCAGCATCCCCGCAGGAGGGACAATAAGAAAGAAGTATTTGGTTGCTTCTGGGGAGGTGAAATATCTATATCCCTTCAGAGCGCATTTTCTAGATGTCAAAACTCTATCAGAAGGCCAAACAGCAATATGATACAAACTCTGTTAGAGTTGAGTATTACCGACTGTCAAGTCCTGCTTGTAAGAGATCAGTCACATGTGCAGTCTTGATGGATCTCTCCTGAGTTCAGTTCAGTGGTTTCTTTCTGCTACTTAAGAGTTTCAACTAAATACTCGGACTTCTCTTCAGGCTCCCTTATACTTCACAGAAATAAATAAAATGTGCCTTTATTGAGTCTCTTCACTATACAAGAAATGCAGGCGTGTTGCCACAGTCCACTGACTCACCTTATTGCAGTCAGGGTTAGCGGCTTTTGTTTGTGTACTTTTTTTTTAAGCAAGTTGCATCAGTTAGGCCAGAATCAGAGCACCTCAAGTAGTGCTCTGGATGTTGCCTGCAGTTGGATCTTGCGTGTGAGAAGAGAGATACGATTTAATGGGGCGAGAGGAAGACAAGATTTCTGTCCTTTTGCTCCCTTCAGTAAATATTCTCTTAACAGAGCTGTCCTGCGAAGAGCTGAGTTTTGCAGTAGCTTCACTCAGAGGTCTCTTGGGGAAGAGAAGCGTTGCTGTATGCCATTGCCTTTGGCTGCGGTCTGTGTATTGTTTCCTCTCTGTCCTGAGCTCTGCTCAGCAGAAGAGCCAGGAATTACTGCCCGGCTCCTCATTATTGCCATTTCTTCCTTTGTTTTCATTACCAGCTTCAGAGCGAGGTAGAGAAACCCCTGCTCAACTTCAGAGAGAACTTTAAGAAAGACATGAAGAAGTGCGACCACCATATTGCAGACTTACGGAAGCAGCTGGCCAGCCGCTACGCAGCAGTTGAAAAGGTGGGAGCAGAGAACAAACTGGAGAGTTTATGAGGTACTGCTGGTTTGGACAGAAAAGCAGCTGCCCTGTGAAGTTTCTGTTCTGCCACAAAGAACCACAAAGGTTTTTGCTGAGTGCTCTCTGCTGTTAGTTATGCTTTGCCAGGCCCCTGATGTGGTTTGCTGCTTAGCTGAGATTTGGGAAATGGGGCTACAGGCAGGGCTAATGCGTTACTGCTGAACGGGCTTTTTGTTTCATCCTCCCCTTCCCAATTTGGGGCAATATATTTCTGATACATTTGATGAAATGTGTGCATCTGGAAGTCACATTTGTTGCCCTCAAAATGTAAAAAACCTTGCCTTAGAATAGCAGCAGGGTCAGGCCAAAGACGCATCTGGCTCAGTATCCTCTTGTGCAGTGGCCCAAAGCAGATGGCCAAGGAGAAACCGGCACAGCAACTCACAAACCCTCTCCCAGTTCCCATTTTCTGTGCCTCGCAGCAAACATCCTCACCTGAAAAAACCAAACATCAGCAGCACCCGAGTATCAGGGGCTGTTTTAACATGACCATCCAGTAGGTAGGTTGTGATTTAGGGAGGGTTATACCCGCAAGAAGTGCTCTCTTAGCAGCAGCTGGCAGGAAATGGGACACCCATGCCTTGGCTGCCAAGATGCTTATGCCAAACGGTATCCTCATGCGGTTTGCTCTTGCGTGTAAGTTGGAAAGGAAAATACCATGCCCAGTCAACCCAGAAGGTTGGTTGGGCTTTCATGGAAGATCAGACTGCACGTGAGAAAGTTCTCCCAGGGACAGAATTGTTGCAGGATACACAAGGTTATTAGACTGTATGTGCGCAGGGAAGGCATTTTTTCTGCAAAACAGTAAGTTCTTTACAGTCATATCTGCAAAGAAACACAGTCCTCAGTAGGGATATTGAAAAGAATGAATTAAAATAGCCTTGAGAAGAAGGAATTAAAGAAAGGGAAAAGCCGTGCCTGCAGCGTGCCTGATGAAGTACACAGCTTCTCACCAGATTGCTTTCCTGCAGCTCCCTCTTGCGTCCCGCCGAGCCAAGCACAGGGTCTTTGGAACTGCAGGTTGAGAAAGTTAAGTAATGCCTCAAGAGCGTTGTAACTTGCAGGCTGGTGTGACTGTAGAAAACTGCAAGGTGCTAACAAGACGTAACCATCCAAACTTAGTTTTAAACACCGTAACTGGATAAAGAACAAATGTGGCCTGTTTTATAACAAGGCCGTGCAAAACAAGTTATTTTTATTTTGTGTATTTAGGCAATCTCAACAAATGAGGTGACAGCATGCATATGTGGTAATGACGTTTATTTGTTAAGACACTTTACTGATTTGCCTGTACATGTTCAGTAATGATACTGATAAATCAGGTTTTAAAAACCTGGAAAACTTTAAAGTAATTTAAATAATCAGTTGTAACCAGGTCTCAGGTTGTTGATTTCTACAGTGCGAACTGATGTTGTCATGACCCTGAATTACTTTTTCTGAAATAATTCTAGAAGTTCCTATTGTTAGAGTTTCTGATAAGTGTATATTGAATCCAGAAGGTACATAAAAATAGATTTTGTAAGTTACTTGAAATTCTTTCAACGATTCAGGTCCTAAGAAAAGCAAATGGAAGAAGTGTCTTGGTGATGCTGGTTAAGACATTTAGAAGAAGCTCCCGCTCCCCTTTCTTCTAGAAATAGTGAGAAAGTTGCTAAGAAACATGAAAGTCTGATGATGCCTTTTGTACTGTGCCTTTCTCAGAACCTATGAAGAGTTCAGATGCTTTTGTGATTTGTTGGTGACAACTTCTGTATGGTGGTAGGACAATTCTTTGAACACCACATGGTGTCCTAAGAACTTGAATCCCAGTTAGGACCCTGTTTTATGCAGAGTCCCTGACTTCTTACTGACAAATACTTGTGTGAAGGAGTCATACATGGCTGAAAGCAGCTGGCAGCTCTTTTCCTCTAAAACGTGTGACTCTTCTTTAATTGCTCCAAGGCCCGGAAAGCCTTGACAGAGAGACAGAAGGATCTGGAAATGAAAACGCAGCAGCTAGAGGTGAAGCTCAGCAACAAGACAGAAGAGGAAATTAAGAAGGCGAGACGGAAGTCCACTCAGGCGGGTGAGTACCTGTGTCTGGCAGCGGCTGGAGGCGAGTGCAGCCCCACGGACGGCAGGAACACGATGGGATGCCACTGCCTGTCCACCTGTGTGTTTCTTGTTTTTCAGTATTGTAGCTACAAAGTGAACCATGCTACCAATCTGTTTGGTGTTAAATCCTCTGAGGAAACAAGCCCAGTTTTTCCGAGTCAGATGTCACAAAATGATGATTTTGATAATTGGGGTGAGAACAGTAAAAGGAGGGTGAATTGTCCTTTTGTTTTGTGAAAGTGTGCTGAGATAACTGAATGTGAAACTTTCAAAGTCAGATTCAAAGAAGCTCAGCTGAGGATGTTTCTTCCTTAAATCATAGTTCCTTCCTTGGTTCTTTCCTAAATCACAGTCACCCACAACTATGTGGGTGCCTATTATGCTTCCTATTACTGTCTTTTTCCTTGAAAGTGAACTTTTTGTCTTTTTTCCACTGCTACTCAGTGATTAAAATAATTTCTTTTCAAGGCATACTGAGGATACAGTAGTGTGTTCTATAGTGTACTGAGGATACAGCTACTTGATGTGACCTGTGTGTGTTTTACAGAGGCTCAAACCGCTTCTCCAGGATCCACCAGGAACTGTCTGTCTTGAAATCTGCAAAGCTGATACATGCAGCTCTGTTAGTACCTTGGCTGAAAATATGTTTTAACTAGGGCTTCCATGTTTTGTCCCTTCATAGATCCATTCCTTGGCAGAGTGGTCCTTCATAGCTCTGAAGCTTTTAAAACTTCAGGATGGCCTGTCTGAGTTTTGAGGAGACTGAGAGGAGTCAGTCATGGTGTGACCACAGGTATTAGCGACAGGAGGCTCCATGAGAGATGCTCTTCAACCGTCTGCAAATTCACAGCCTCTCTGTGTTCTCTTGGGTCCCCAGAAATTGTTTGTAATAGATATTTACTGAACAAGCAAGGGAGAGCTGAAGATCAGATGGGAGTAACCCAGAGTTTGGTGTGAGTCTCCCCATCGCTCCCCCCACTTGGTGCCACTGTTACGGTGCGTGGCAGGGGAGGACTTGCCCCATCCCTGCAGGTACTGCTGCCCAGCTGGGCTGCTTGCGATGCGCACAGCAGCAGCATGTAGTGATCTAGCTTTGAAATGAGGCCTGCTGCAAGTGGATGGTAGGACTAGAGAGCTCTAGACCAGAGCCCTTCTACGATCCCACCGGTTACTGATACGTGGCGTTGCTTTCTGCTCCTATGGGTTGTTCATGTGTTTCATGGCTTTCGTGTTCCTGGCTGTACAGTGGCTCAGATTCACGTGGATGGGTGGAGGATAACCCCAAGTCAGATAGCTCCCGAGGAGCCTCCTGGAGTGTGAGAGCCATTAGTTTGGACTTGTCATGTCATTAGACATCCCCCGTCTGGGTGGATAAGCTTATTGCTGAGCTTTAAGCCATGAATCCTGGTTTCTTCGTAGAGTTTGGTTGCCACCCTAAGTTCTAAGTCCATGAGAGACTTCCAGATGCATTTACTTCTTTGACACTTGTTTGGTCTATGGAGTCCTGTTCTTAAAGCTTGATTTGTTCCTGGTTTATGTATAAACACCTTTTTGCACCAAAAAGAACAGGATGAATTTGAGCCTGGACCTAGGCATCAAACCATTAGGGAAAGTGTAACTGAGCCTCAGTTGAAGAAGAAAGAGAATTTACTGGCTGGAAACCAATAATCTCTGAGACATGCCTTCCAGATTTTCCACCCACCTTTCCCTGTCTGTCAGAGCAGAGTCCTGCAACAAAGGAAAAATTGAAATAATCGCAGCTTATTGTGTTACTGCCCCGAACGTGGGAGGAAGCCAGAGCTTGACTGGAATCGTGCATCTTCAGAGGCTGGAGAATGCATGAGTGTGCAGCTGGGTCAAGGTTGCAAATAAGTGTCCCTTGATCTCAGACAGCTTGAGCCTGACGCTTCACTCCCATTTTAAACAGACCCGTCTTAGAATGCAGTCTCACCTACAGAGTGCTACCCTGCAGCTGCTCAATAACTTGTTACTATTGATTTCTCATTTTAATTATTTTATTTTTCAGATATGACTTTCTGTCTATGAGATTTTTTTTAACTGAAGTAACTTGCTTTCATAGTTCTTGGCATTTTGTAATATATTACTTAATGCTCATATTTTCCTTTTGAAAATCTTGTCTTTCCCCCTCATTCTTTCTCACCCCAATCACCTGAGCTTTTGCCACACATCAAGTGCATGCATTTTGTTGAAATGTTGTTGCGTCTAACAAATGCCAGGTAACGGAACTGCCTTCAGCTCCACCAGGACTGACCTTCAAACCCTTTGGGTCTGTCTACAAAACCTGAACTGCGATTTCTTTCGAAGCGCCCTAACACCGCCTAGAGAAGACTAATGTGTTGCTATTTTGAACTTCTCAGGAGATGACCTGATGCGCTGTGTGGATCTTTACAATCAAGCCCAGTCCAAGTGGTTTGAGGAAATGGTGACCACCACTCTGGTATGTAACTGTAGCATCTCACATGTATAACAGTGCAAAACTGGAATAGCGTACAACATTCATCACTCATAGCTAGTTGCAGTGCAAAGCGGTGGGAAAAATTGGGTGATGAATCTCCCATTGTATTTCCCATTCTCAGTTCTAAGAAAAACTCATATCATTAGTGGAAGGAAGAAATAATTGTTTCATTGCAGAAGGCATTAAACCAGTTCAGGGCTGCTTAGGGGCCAGAACACTGGAATTGTCCCCAGGAAGGATGAAGTAATGCACACGGAAGACATGCAAAAACATGTGATAAATCACTGAATCCATTTGTACATTAATGAATTTTTGTATTCCATGGTTTTACAATTTCTTCAGGGGTATTGCCAGCTCAGAAGAGGCATGCTTTAATTACCTATTGTTCTGCTTCTCTGAAGATAACACAGCTCACAGTATTCCCCCTAAGGGCGTATACCTTTGCGGTTAGTCACCAAGATGCCAAGATACAGCTTTGATGTGCTGTATTCCTTGAAATACCTGTACTTTGGCTTTAGGGCTCCTCCCTCATGTCATTCCTTAGAGCCCTTCTGGACAAGGGCCAATTGCTTTCAAAAGTGGGAAATAAAACTGTCTTTTGCATGTATTTTTCTCATTGGACAAACACAAAACTGTAAACTCCTCCTAATAAGAAGCAGGATAATAAATTGCTCAGCATTTGGAAGTGTGTCAGTGCAATATTTAAACTACAGTAAATAAATAAAGGCAGATGGATGAGTGGAAAACCAGGAGGCAGATATCTTCCCAAAAGCAGAACAAGAGAGAAAAAATTGGCTGTTCCTATACATAAGGGATGTGATTCTCCTCTCACTGACCATCAGTGCCACTGTGTCCCCATACGGCCAGGTTATGTTAGCTGCATATTTGCTCCTGGAGAAGTGCAACTCAGAAGTGCTCTAGTAGTAGCTCAAGAGGGAAGTCATAGCCTGCGGGCTGCCCAGCAGATCTGTCAGTTGTGAAACTCAGACTGAGAAGCATTTGAAGGTAAGGCATACAAGAATATAAAATCTAAATTGACAAACGGTCTGCATCTGATCAGCTCAGATACAGATTAGATCACACGCAATACAAAGTTGAGAGACTCAAGGTCTAAAGATTTGTTTTTCCTTGCATACCTTCCTCCCTGAAGTTTCTAGTGCAGATACAATGCACATTCTGTGTATGGCGTGCTTGCCAGCACTAGCACGCTGGCTTCTGTGCTCTGGCCCTGCACACCTATGCCCTAAGTAAAGGAGTCTTAGTTCAAAGTGGGCCATTCATCAACCAGCAACAGCAATAGGAGCTCAGTCTGTTTCAGTCTTGTCCATACCTTAAGCTCCTTTGCTCTTCTTCCTCCCCAGGCAGATAGTCTGCCGCCTGAGATTTTTGTGCTGTAATGAAGGATCTGTTTCCCGGAAGGCATTTAACAAATTGCAGATAGCACAGGGAAGGCAATGTAGCAGCCTGTCTGCGTGCATATGCTCAGCTTGCACACCACCGTGATGCCCAGTTAGTGGACACCAGAAACGCCCTCTGCAGGCAGTTTTTGTAAGATTTGGCCCCATTGATGACCCTGTGAATACAGAGCTTTCTAGTGAAACAGCAGTCCATTGCAGTATATGTCTTTAAAGGCAGACTTCCATAGCATCCTCCTTCCACTGCTGCCGCTCAGATGGACAAGGAAGGACTACACGCAGACTTTGGGGTATAATATCAGAATCCAGGAGAAGAGGGAGGCAGAAAAAATCAGGAGGAAAGTTAGAAATCACCTGCCTTTTCAACTAAAGCGTTGCTGGGATCTGCTTACTGCCAGCTGAGCGAGGTGGAGACTTGTCCCAGCTCATCATCTGCTGAACAGATAGAACTGCTCTTACAGGTGTCTGGTTAGACCGAGGGCATCCAGGCCCTCTGACCCATACACCCCAACGCTGTCTCCTGCTTCCCCAAGGAATCACAGTGACTTCTGGAGCTAGTAACAAAGCATGCAAACCTTCTTGCAGGAAACAGATTCCCTTGTTTGAAGCATCCCTGAAGACAGTAGCTCCTCTCTCTGCCTTGGTTGTTTTGGAAAGGTTTTGACCTTCTTTTCTGTTGTTAGGCTCAGGCTGAAGTGACTTCTGTTGCTTGCTGTCTCTGATTCTCTGCAAATCAGAGGGATGTGCAACCACAGAGTTCAGCTCCAAAGTGGGACCCTGGGGTAGTATCACACTGACTGGCAACCTTTTGTGTGTCATCCTTTCTCTGGGTCTTCACGTTGAGCTTCCAAGAAAAACATGGACTTGTTTTTCTTCGTGTCCAGGAGCTTGAGAGACTAGAAGTTGAAAGGGTGGAGATGATTCGGCAGCACCTTTGCCAGTACACACAGCTGCGGCATGAGACAGACATGTTCAACCAAAGTGTAAGTCTGCTTTTTGTTTGGTCCCTTTGGTCTTTACTGCACTTCAGCTGAGCAGAACAGTCCCTATCCTGATCAGACTGACCTGGACCGAAAGAAGATGTGAAAAGTGTATGCGGTCAGCTTGTTTGTTTGCAGCAGTACTGTACTGCGACCCCAGTCCTGCTCCTCCAGGGCACGCTGATCCTGGTTACATTTCTTACTGCTCGATTGCAGCTTTTTGCTGGGGGAGACACAATAAATTGAATTACGTTTGGCCGGCATGAGCCATTATTAGTTCTTCCAGCATGATGCACTACTCTTTAAGGTCATCTGTTCTTGCAAGGAAGATGGTAAATAGTTTCACTGTTGCGGGAGGGAGTATATTTTTTTTTCTTATTAAAAAACTGTGTAGTTTTCAAATATTAAAATACAGGGGATGTATGCTGACCTCAGTGCATGGTTGTATTTGATGTAAGGTACAGATTTCAGGACAGGAGTCAGAGACTGGCTGGCCAGTGTTACGTCTGCCTCTTCTCTGCTTCCCGCTAAGAGGCTTCACATTCAGATCCGGCTGTTGTCCACCGAGTCTTGCATACGTGCAGTTCTCGCTTGTCTGCAAATGCAACGTAGGCGTGCCCATAGCTGCTCTGTGCTTCAGAGCAATGACTGTTTCTGCTTGAAATGCGCCCTTGACATTTTGATTCTTGTTTTGTTCTTTTTAGACAGTAGAGCTCGTGGATCAGTTGCTTCGGAAAGTGGATCCTGCCAAAGACAGGGAACTGTGGGTAAAAGAACACAAAACTGGAGATATCCGACCTGTGGACATGGAAATATAGACTGATCTGTAGATGTATGTGATGAGTCCACTGAATTAACCAGGCTAATGTTTGTTTTTTAAGGGTCAGAAGAGCATAGGGAAAAGGTTGTTTCACTACCAGACACCTTGTAATTTATGCCTGTATGGGCTATCTCTGTTACATTTAGTCATTAAAATGGTCCTCATTGTGCTAAGCCTTAAGCACCAGACATTCCAGGGTGAAGAAACCAGATGTGTGCTTCCCGCCAGAGGTTCCCAATTGCACGCAGCTTCCAGAAGAAATCTGCTTTCTGGTACAGAGAGAGCTCTGTTCTTCAGTGACTTTGTGCTACATCCCTTGCATGACTATCTTTATACAGTATGTTAGAACAACCATGCAGTGAGCCTCTGGCCAGCAAGTAGATAACTGTTTGAACATGATGGAGGAGGCAAGGAAGTCCTGATCATGAATCCCAGGTCTGTCACTGACTGCTTTCATGGCCATAGGCAAGTCAATTAACTTTTCTGGCTCCCCCATCTATAAAACACGCATATCTCGCAGCAATGTTCTGCGCATAACATTGATTTCGTATAACACAGTTTCCCACCATGGCAGTGAAGTGATGGCCCTTCTCGCAAAATCTATGGAGAAGACTCCTGTTCTTCCTGTTTTATACTCCCTCTCAGGGATACATAAACCCATTATCATCATGATTTCTGTTCTAAGCCAATCAATAAGGTTGAAAGTGTTACCGTCACCGTTATTTATCAGGAAAGACTTGGTTGTGCTATACCTACCTCATTAGCTGTCTGAGTGCCCTCAATGACAGAAAGAGGTTATATACCAAGGAATAAATGAGATGTTCAAAACCTTTCCTGCTTACGCCAGATGTTTTCTCACAGAATCTCCTTAAAGACAGTCCTCTAACATTTTATTTGGGATCCAGGTTTAAGTTGCCCTTTGTTGGTTCCTTCAGGTGAATATCACAGCCTTTAGGTATCTTTAATTACCAAGTTTGTCCAGCTAAATTGTGGGTTCTGTCTTTTTACAGCCTGATTTTCAAAGGTGCCATGAATCGGTGATGCTAGATGGCAGTAGATGTAGATGTAGGTGTCCAGCAGTTCTGCACCATCAGATTCTTAACCTTAGGTTTTTCCTTTTTTACCACAAACCACCACAATTCAACGCTGCTCTTGGCACATAGTGTTATGTAGTTTGGAGACTGCTGTTATTTCTGATTGATTATTCAGTGTTGCTGTTAATGTATTTTTCAGCATTTGATACAATGCCAAGATTCTTAAGATTCTTGCTTTAGATCCAGCAGAAACCTTGATTCTCACCACTGTGGCCTTTACTCAGTGTTTACCGTGTTGTTATCTACAATTCCCCAGACTGTACTATTTCATTTGATCCACAGTGATGCTCCACTTTATCTCATTGTTACCATCCTTTTTCCCCCAGCACCAAAATTGCTTCCTTCTTTTGTTCTACTACTATTCAAGGTTTTTCTTCACCAGCCTCAAAGTGCTGTGATTAGATTATTGAGAGTTAATATTCCCCTTTACTAATACAAACTGAGACACAGAGAAGTCTTATCTGAAACACATTTTTAATATTGATGCAGTGATTATTTTTCTGGTTTGTTATTTCAAACTGAATTCTCTTGCATCTTCCTATTGTTCCCTTTTTCTCAGCCATCTCTTTACCAGCATAGATTCGTTCCTGTCTTGCAAATGCCTCCACAACCCACTTCTCTGCTGCATCATTAACCGTTACAAACCTTTGCACGTTGGCAGATGCAATGCCGTGACCACTGCATGCTCAGGATCACTGTTCCTGGTGTGACACCTCCCGTACTGCACTTCCATTACACACTTCTGAATTTGCGACTACTATTTTCTTCTCGGTCTTGGAAGCATCCAGCACACTGTTATGTGAGTCTCTCCTAAGTTCCTGCAAAGACCGTTGCAACACAGATGAAACATGGTTTGCCTAAGCGTCGCGTAGTCCTTGAGCTCACTTAGAGTACTTATGCTTCCCTAGGCTCCTCTTCTGCTGCTCAAGCAGGGAAGTTTTGTGATGATCTCTCTTTTTCAGTCTTCCTATTAATTCACTCTCTGTCCTATGAATTTTTCTGGCATACCAATGTGTACTTTTCCTATCTCTACCATGCACTTTGGAGGACAGGCACTTTTTCTTTTTTTCTTTTTATTCAAACCACAGGTGCAGGGTGAGCTTTCAAAACTTCAATGTCCAAAAATAACTGGAGTACTTAAGAGCTGCATCTCAGGTTGATCCCTGTATTCTAAGCTGTATTGAAAATGAAAATGAGCAATCTTGATGACACCTCACCACATTCTTGTTTTGATTGCAAAACCAAGCTAGTTGTGCACTTTATACAGTATTCTCCTTAATAAATATCTGAAATAATGTCTTACCGATTACACTTTATTTTTCCTCTTTCTTTAATGATGTTTGTTATTTTGTCTATTTTGGACTGGAAATACTGTCCATTAGCACAGGTTTCTCTGAGGACTGAAGTGTATTTCGGTTCCTCTACTAAGGTGTATTTAAGCTGCTCTCAATTCTCAGTTGTATTTTCTGGTAATTTTTTTTTCCCTTTTGTTTTATTTCCAGACAGTTTTACTACTTCTAGTTTTTGGTCCGTTTGAAATGCTTCAGGAATGTGTGAGCTGCACAGAACGATAGTTCTCTTGATGGAGTCTGTATCTCTTTTTCACTTCGATAATCTGAGGAGAGCACTTGTACCTGGCTGTTATTCTTCACCAGGTCCAGCAAACTCTCGCGCAGTGCTGCTCTGCCATGGGCGAGGTGCTTCCTCTGCAACAAGACTTTCATCTGTAATCAGTGGAAGCGTTAGGGAAGTTTTGCTGTTGCTTGTAGAGTTTCCAGTTTATTATTTCCTGCAAAAGATGATATTCCCTTGTGATACGACACTGCAGACAGCAGGATCAGTGTTACCTGGCTCGTTCACTTCTCTGAGTGATGGATCCTGGACAGTGTGGGGCCTTAGAAGTCAGGGAGTGCTGGAGCCCCTGTGCTTCTGAATGAACAGCAGCTTCAGAGAAGGTAGTGACATGTTTGAAGGGAAGCATGGACACCTGCCTTTGTGTTCATTCCTAACAAGGTAACTTCAGGAGTTTCATCATTGCTCTATTCATCTTTCACTGAGTTGCAAAAATGCAGTTGAACCCAGTCTTTCTTCAAGCAACAGCTCATCCTAAACGGCTTCTTCTCCGGAGCAAGATCAGGCTTTGGGTTATGTTAAAATAGCTAGCATGTGAAAAGCATGATGATGTTGCAATGTAACTGATAACAGGAATAGCAGAGTAAGTCTCTTGCCTCCATAGGTACTGAGCTTAAGAGTCATCTCATTTCATCTGGCAGGTGGGCTCACACACTTGATTCAAGTTTTTACTGTTTTAGTCACTACAGGTATCAGTCCTTTTTTGTTGAGTGACAAGGCTGTCTTACATCGTCATACGGCTCTGTGGTCACAGAGCAGAAGGTGAGCTTTCAATTAGTACTGTGTGCTTTCACCTGAAGAGGTACAATTAGTGGGAATTTGCCTCTGGTTCTTATCTGGTAGCTCTGCTTGCCCAGGTCTTTGTTGAAGCCGCCTGTGTTTCAGGAGTCCTGCCGCTCCGGCAGAGCTCCCTCTTTGTCTAAGCCATGCTGTCACATACTTGCCTCATGCCATCAAACCTCTGGCTCCCTGGCGATCTCTGCTTCAGCCAGAGCCTTTTGGCCCTTGTCTGAGCTCAAGGCCTTCGTGAATTCCTATGGCTTTGAATCCATTGGGTGTCCTGAATCCAGTGCCAGAGCTGGTGAGGTGCTTACCAGCTGTAACCTCAGCTACTGTACAGAATGGGAACATTTTATCCATCATCCGTATCAGCCTGCCTAGGTCTTCAGAGCCATCTTCTGGCAGAGTTTACTCAATAGAGAGTCCTTGTTGGAAGTCTTTCTCTAAGGTATTCTTTCAGCTTATTTCCTACCAGAACTCGTTCTGGATCCAGTGCTGTTGGCTGATTCCTGTTGGAGTTCATGAGCTGAAAGCAATGAGTCCTTGACCACGTGGGCCAAGTCCACTTTTCTCCCTTCACTGGCAAGACTCCAGTTGCTGTCATAAAGCAACATCCAAAAAGGTCTAATTCTTGGATTTCCAGTCTGCTCCAGATTCACTCAAATCTGTAACTCACATTTGTTCATCACTTCTGTTGTTGAACATCTTGTTAAAGACTTCAGTTGTTCCCTTACAGGAATGTTATTTCATTATTTGACACTGGGATCTTTAGAGATAGCTTTAATTTTTTTTTTAAATGTTAAAATATTGTAACAGCAGTGAAAGTCATGTGGAAATCCCTGTTATGTTTCTAGAATACTTATCCCCCCTGCAGCCCTGCCTGAGCTGCTGTGGGGTAGCTGTGCTCCCCCTCGCGTTGCACAGTTACAGCAAACACGGAAATGTTTTTCCTTTCCTGCATAGCAGGCAGCGTGCGACCGCGCGCTCGGGTTCCCATTACCCTCTACGCATCTGCGCAGTTTCATGTTGCAGAATTAGCTGCTTTTTGTTTAACTGACAGCCCCATGCTGTAATGTCAGTGTGTGGAGCTGTCTTGTGACAGTGAACTGCACTCAGATCACCTCTTTTATTTCATTGGGTTTTTTTTCTTTTTCTTTTCTAACAGGAATTTTCTGTAAAGCATTCACAGGAAACTTTTACATGCTCAGTAGCAGTCATAATTTCTCAGACATTCTCAGAACCTCTTTAAATTTGTCCCTGTTTTTAATGTCATTATTTAAATATTTCTTGCAAGTTAGACTCTTTCTGTAGAAATGTACACTCTTCACCTGCTCTTTGGAAGTGCTTGGCACTCAAGAGATTTCTCGGAACACAACAGGGAGGATGTAGGTGATAAGAGACTTTGAAAATCAGGCTAACAAAGAGAAATGTACAAGCCTCTTTTTTTCCTTAGTCGTTCACTACATGTGTAAGGTAAACATTAAGAAACGAGAACCTCAAATAGTAATGTATAAGACCTAGCCGCTATACATGCAATTCCCAGCAGCCCTACGAGTGACCCCGTGTCAGGCTGTGGTCGGAGCGCAGCTCTAGAGCATGGGCCTACAGCTCACTGTCTGATGCAGCTGTAAAAACCCAAATCCAAAATTAAGTGAAAAAGCCCATCTATTTCTTCAGTCACACACAGGGAGAAAAACACTGCTTACTCAGGTGGGTCCTTCACTATCAAGCACCTTAAGAAATCCAGACCAGCACCTTGAAGGTCCCCCTGGAATGAGTAGATGTGACTTCTTGGTGTGATCAGTTGATTGTTTCCTTCTGAATTGAAAACGTATTTGCTATTTTATTGTAGCTAGCGTGCTCTTTTGCGCTAGTGCAGCTTGCTGGGTCTGTTCCCAGAGGTGGCAGTCGGAGTCTGGTGTCCTGGAGGCAGTCCTGGTCACCCTTACATTCCCGCTTTGCGAGAACTAGGTCTTCAAAAGACAGTGTCAAAAAGGCAGTTCTCAAAATAATGAGCTTTCCTGATCACAGACCTTTCTGAGAAGTCTGTAGGCTTTTTGCTACCCAGCATGTGTTGAAGTAGGAGAATGAGGTCCCAGAGGTTGCTGAAGCATTGCTGGGAATCGTTCCCGTGGCGTGGGCATTCCTCCCGTACCATACAGTGGTAGGGAAGAGCTGACAGGTGTCCTTTGCACAGCAGAGGTGTCTGACATTTTACTGGAGGAGCCTGCTGGTCACATATAACTTAACCCGGTGGGCAATAGTCACAGGCAGATTCAAATCAAAAACAGGCACATAGGGCAGGAAAATGTTTAGCTGCTGAAT